ATACAAATAACAAAGTTGAGAAAATCAACAGGAGATACATTGTTAAATAGAGGTGTGCAAGACGATTCAGGCAAGATGTCAACAACAGGATCAGTCTGACATTCAACTTCCAGAGACTCAGTCTGAGTACTAGCAGTCACCATGACTGGAGAAGACACAACATCAGAAATTGTAACAACCTGAGACAGTGGTTTAGCTGCAGAAGGTGGTTTAGCTGCAGAAGGTGGTTTAGCTGCAGAAGGTGGTTTAGGGACTGCTGGAACCTGAGCGACATTTAAATCTCCACGCACCTGTCGAACAGCCTGAGAATAAGACAACTTACCCTCAACTCGGACTTTCTGAATCTGGACTGCTTCCTGGTATTTAATACAACCTTTGTAAGCCGCAGAGTAGGCACCACCACAGTTCTTACATTTAAGGGAACTTTCATTGCACTCCTCGTATTTGTGCTTCCCTCCACATTTAGTGCACACATGATGAGAGCTCCTACACTTAGCAGAGACATGCCCAAAGGACTGACACTTGAAGCATCGCAGAGCAGGAGGAACATACATCCGAATAGGAAATCTCTGGAAGAATATAACAACATGATCTGGTAAAGATTGGCCAGTAAACGTAAGTAGAACAGATTTGGTGGGAACTTTATCAGGCCCACGAGTCAGACGCACAGCAGAGCACAGTAAAGGTAACACAGGCTTTAACTAGTCCTCAAGTTCATTCATCTCAATATCCAGATCAATACCATAGATGACTCCACGTGTTCTCATTAATGAATCAGGTTCATGTACGGTGACAAAATGTTCATCAAGTTCAGTGACCTGCAAAAGTGTTTTGGCAGCCTCAACAGTTTTGGCTGCGACACTAACATCACCCCTGGCCATCCGCTTAACACTGACTATTTCGGTAGTGACCTTAGTCAAGGCTCGAGCCAAAGCACGCTGTGTCATAAGTTGACAGAGGGTCGTTGAACCATCACCATATTCATCTACATCGGCTTTAGAGATGACAGTGGTTGATTTGACCTGCGCTGGATCATCAAATACAAAAGTAAGATCAGACCAAGCAGTAGGAGGTACAGTAGTAGGGGGCTTGGCAACACAGGCCTTTTTAGAAGTACCATCTGGAATACGACCAATTCGCTTCCTCCCTGAAGCCACCACTTTAAATCCGTCCTCACATTCCATTCTGTTGTCAGCCATTGCCGAGGACAATCCCCAACAACTGACTGTAACAAACAGCAAACACCAAATAGAAATGAAAAGGTTGAATTCACTCCAACACAAGAGAAATCAAAAGCCAAAAGAACCAAAGAGGAAGTATCATAAACAGTCAAGTGCGCTGTATAACACTAGACAAGTTGCTGAGAAGCAAAAGACGTCCGAACTCGACGGCAGTCAAGACCGAACTTTGTTTTGCAGAATATACATAACAACGGTCTAGAGGGAGCACGGGTGGCCCAGTCGTCTAAGGCGCCGCATTCACTGTGCAGAGTTGTGTCCCTTGGGCACGCCAGAAACCTATGATTGCGGGTTCGAATCCCGGTTCGCCCCGATTATGTTTCTAGGTTTGTCAGCACCATACCCGTGCTCGTGGGTTTCACCGAAGTGGTAAACGTCTGAGACCTGCATCACTTCGGGCTTTCCTCCCACATTAAGCTGACACGCCGTGATATAACTGGAATACTGTTAAAAGCGGCGTTTAACCCAACTCACTCAGTCACTAACAACGGTCTAGAGATAGAAAAATCCCGATGATGAAGCTAGAATTTAAAAATGTTTTATTTGAAACAGCCACGTTGTCTGGACATGTGGTTACTGAAAGACACTCGGAAGCTCGCGTTGTATCACTCCAGTAATGTATGGCTTTACTTCGACGCGTCGTGGTGGAAAATATGAAAATAGACACATGGACATGTGCCCTTCCGGACTGGGCGGGATGGAGGACGATGCCACGAGTCAGTGATTATTCAGCGCGCATCTAGACAAGGCCTCTGACGAAGAAGGTGATAACTAATTGTTAGTTGCATCCTATTTCAATATAAAGCTTGCAAGAACGTCACTCGTGTGACATTAGATCAATGTGGACGGGTGAAGTTTCAATATAGCGATTAATGGACCTTGGGAATATGCCCAGCTAGACAAACTGAAGAGAGAAAGAAACTATACCTACTATATATTTCATCATATGTTTGATGTTCAAATGACCCATGCTTGCGGTCATTTAAGAGACTCATCTGTAATTCCTTGTCAACGAATGCACAATTATACATCCTTCATTCTTGGACCTTCATAATCTAGATTACACAATGTGTCCAATTCCTTAAAAAAATGTCACTTTAAGGGTCGGTCTTCAGCAACCCATGCTTGCCATAAAAAGCGACTGTGCTTGTCGTAAGAGGCGACTAACGGGATTGGGTGGTCAGGTTCGCTGACTTGGTTGATGTGTGTCATCGTATCCTAATTGCGAGGATCGATGCTCAAGATGTCAATCACTGGATTGTCTGGTCCAGACTCGGTTATTTACAGACCGCCGTCATATAGATAGAATATTGCTGAGTGCGGCGTTAAACAAACAAACAAAACAAACAGGTCACACGTGGTCTGCCAGGTCTTGCCCAGGTTTTGCCCTGTTCTTGCCCTGTTCTTGCCCTGTTCTATACTGCCAGTCTGTAGGTAACGGCCTGGCAATGAGTGCACGTGTACAGTTGAAGTTTTCCCACGTTTGGTGTACACCCATTTGCCCCATTCCTAGGACCCTCTCTCTTTCTGTTGTGAAGTTAATTGTGACATGTCGTTTTGCGCTGCTTCATAACCTGTGATGTTTTGGTAACGATCCATTGCAATTTAACCATTTCTGCACGTGCATATTGACGGATACCCCAAAAAGGTGTCAAATGACCGCGGTAAGAAGGAACGACGCCTACGACTGGACCAAAATCAGTCGGTTAGGCTGTTTGAATCGTATGGTGTCTTCAGTGCGCCGCCGCTGCCTTGCCCGTATCAACACAAATAGTGGACAGCCTGATATTGACATTGTTAAATGAGTTGTTGGCATAGAATCCTATGCATGATATCGAGCAAGTTAATATGACAACGAGCCTTTCGCATGTTATTATTTGGAAGATTTGAAGTGCAAAACTTGACGTCCTGTCTGTAGCTGAAATGAACCATCTCGAAATATGAGCAGCACATTCATGAATCAAAGAGAGATCTTACCTGTGAAGATCCGGGGCCTGAAAGGCGATTTTGCTTGTCGTAAGAGGCGACTAACGGGATCGGGTGGTCAGGTTCGGTGACGTGGTTGATGCATGTCATCGTATCCCAGTCGCGTGGATCGATGATGATGATGTCAATTCCTGGATTGTTTGGGCCAGACTCGATTATTTGCAGACCGCAGCCATAAAGCTGGAATATTGCTGAGTACAGAGTTAAACAAGAAACAAACAAAACAAACCATATATCATATATCTTCATGCTAGTTTGATTAGATTTGCGTTTTATTTCAGAAATTACCTTTAGGACTAGTCCTAAAATAACTAAATAAATCTTCAACCAATTTTTGTTGTTTTATTAAACTGTCCAGTGGGTCTGTCGAACTGAAAGTTGTTGTTTCGGAGGCAATTCGACCTTTAACGTGTACCATATGTTTTCGTACTTGTACAGGTGAACAATTGACTTGTCTTTGCATGTGTTTGTGACGGGTGCCACCGTCCTCTTTTCGCGGACAACCTGGTATCATCACTATTTGCTTGTGATTCATAAACACTCGCTTTGTTACGATAAAGTCGGAATCGTCCAGTGGACTGTGCTTTTAGCAGAGATTTCTTATGATTATGGAAAGTGTTTTGTCTCTGTGTTAAAATGTAGGTTAAACCATTTAATGGATACATATCTTTGAAAATGTAGATTTAATCATTTAGAATAAATGGATACATATCTTTGAAATTGTAGATTAATCCTTTAGATTTTATGGGTGCAAATGTTTGAAAATGTAGAATAGATCAATTAGTTTTTATGGTTACATGTCTTTAAAAATGTAGATCAAATCAATCGATTATATGGATCCATATCTTTTAAAATGTAGATTAAATCAATCAGAAGCTATGGATCCATTCTTTGAAAATCTATATTAAATCAATAGATGATATGGATCCATTCTTTGAAAATGTAGACTAAATCCATAGATTATATGGATCTATATCTTTAAAAATGTAGATTAAATCAATAGATGATATGGATATATTCTTTGAAAATGTAGATTAAATCAATAGATTATATGGATCCATATCTTTGAAAATGTAGATTAAATCAATAGATTATATGGATCCATGTCTTTGAAAATGTAGATTAAATCAATAGATGATATGGATCCATTCTTTGAAAATGTAGATTAAATCATTAGATGAAATGGATCCTTATCTTTGAAAATGTAGATGAAATCAATAGATTATATGGATCCATTCTTTGAAAATATAGATTTAATCAACCATGGTCGCATAGTTTCGAAAAAGTTAAATTTTAAACGATCAACACAACGCACATTCGTTTCATTATTAAATCGTTGGCTTGGGCTATGTTTTTGATTTTAGTATCAGCACATATTTATAATGGTAAAACGTCTAAAAGTGTGAATGTCAAAGGACAGTGAGAGAGTTAATGGGTTTTAGTTTAACGCTGTTTTTGGATGTAACAGTAGGTCAGCAAAGAGGCAACCGGGTTTGATTAACTCCAAGAATCAAACGCTGGGAGAATCTGAGTGATGAACGGCGTCGGATGCTGTTGTAGCAAATACTGAGATAGTGAGTGAGGGATTTGTTTAATTCCCTTTTTAACGTGAAGTTATTAGCTCATTGGGGAGGAAAGTCACCAAATGTTTACCAAATTAGTGAATCCCATGAGCACAACGCTGACACACCAAGGATCCTAATCAGAACGAATTTGAGATTCGACCACAGCGGAAACTTCTCGACCAAAGAAGGCAACTCTGTACAACTCCAGGCGACTTTACCACTCGCGAATCTAATCTAATGGTGATATAGGAGAACATGATGACGATAATTCTCAAAATGAATAAACAAGTTTATATTGAGTGGGTCGTGACACACCCTAGAGCCTGGACAGAGCAAGAGAAACGAGTGATGGTAGTAACACAGTTTGGGACGACGGTGCCATGTGTGGTGTAAACTTTGGATGTGAAATGAATATAAAGCCACATTCATGACGACAACAGACTTATGTACAGGTGCATTGTTCTTAAGGAACAGTGATGGTAGTAACACAGTTCATCAGGTTGGTTATAAGCCGCGTCCAGCAGTACTTCAGTGATATGACGGCGTGTCAGCCTACTGTGGGTGGAAAGTCCAAATTGGCACAGGTCTTAGACGTTTACTACTTTGGTGAAACCCACGAGTACACAGTAGGTGCTGATAAACCAAGGGCCATAATCAGTGTAAGTCTGCGATCTTCGGATCCTGGCCCGCCTAAGTGACGCTGCAGGAAATCAGGGGGAAAGTCAATTGGATGTAGTACGACGTCTCTCATAAAATAAAAAAACAATATAATATTTCAGACAACAAGGAATTTATAACAGGCTTTGCACACACATGATTATACGGTCGTCACGATGTCGTAAACACCAAACGTTGACAATGTCAGGAGTAGTCACAAGGAGCAGTTACAAATCATAGTGTTCATGTCCCTTGACTGGATTAACAACAGTTGTGATACCTAGCTTTGGTTATTTGGAGAGTGAGTCTGAAGTCTTCTTCCGCACTTGAGACAGTCCAGTAGGTCGAGCCGCAACTCCATGTTCGTGAGCAAACAGACTGTGAAGTTGACACAGGGTCGGATGCGAAACAAGAGAACCGAAGCCAAGGTTACTCCCGGTCTAGATGCAGGCGGTACAATGTTCAACAAGGAGATCAGAACACCTGGGAACACATAGAAGAAGAGGATCTCCGTGAATATCACAAGCATCATCTTGAAGACGACGTCATCTCTTTTTTTGGCTAATATGGACGAGGCCGACATATTGGTTTGAACTTGATTCGAGTGGACTTCCACCCGCTGACGTGACTTCTTTGTGAAGAGGTAGATTCTGACGTAGCAGTAGACAACGGTGAATATCAGGGGGAGGTATAGGCAACACACAAGGATGTACGTCAGCGTGGGGTTCGTGTATGCACAGGAATACTTCAGGGGGTCGTAGTTAACAGAGCCGCCAAATCCTGCGCAGAAGGCGACAGGTGTCACCCATAGACAAATGGACACACATAGTAACCACTTCCATGAAATGACCCGGATGTAGATATGGTTGTAACAGATTTGTAGAAGTCGGTACACTGCCACAGACGTGAGACTACAAGCAGACGTGCTGATGGTCCCGTAGGTGATGTACGTTTTTAAATAGCAGACGACATATCCGAAGGGAGGCCCGTCTGCAAGGAAGGTGGCGATGTTGAGAGGGTGGACGATGCAGACGAACACGAGATCGGCGATGAAGAAGTTGGTCAGAAGGATGTACAACGTCCTCCTCAGCCGCTTCGTGTGCCACACCGTCACCAACAGCATGACGTTGCCTACCGAGGCCACAAGGCACACGCAGATCAAGATGGCGACTGCGAGGGAGACTGACGCAGGAGAGAGGAGGTCACTCACCTTCACGACACTGCTGTTCATTGCCCCACACCTGTTGAAATTGATGAGATTCCGGAAAGAAAGAAAAACATTGTCGTTAACTTCAAACAGTCTGTAACCTGAAAAGCCAACAACTTCAAATGTAAGCTTTGAATTTCGAGAACTTCAATTGTTTTTAAGATTGAAATGCCAACAACTTCAAATGAAAGCTTTGAATTTCAAGAACTTCAATTGTCTCTAAGATTAAAATGCAATAACTTCAAATGTCAAATTATAACCTGAAAATGTTCAGTAAGTTTGAAACGTCGATGCCTTCAAATGTCTAATGTCTAATATATTTTTCGCTTTAAATATCCACAACGCTCAATACCCTTAAGAACTGAGGATTACCATCCATAGCAATGACATAGAACATTCAAATATTGACCAGAAAGCCTGCTGGACTTCAAACATATTTTTAATCACCTATGGTTTCGTTCCGCTTACGTTTCTATTAAAACACTGGTCGGTAACAGTCTCATGTTGCTTTGTGTAAATTATGTCCATGGCAACAACGTCTAACATCACGTGCTAAAACATCAAACAGATCCAAATACTCACCTAGCTATTTATTTTCTTCTGAATCGAATCATAGATGAATTCTTGAAATGTTCGACAGATGAAATAGCTTCATCCTATCGACGACTGAACCATCCGCGTCCTACAATAACAACTCACTTGGGGTTATCTTTCAGACAATCGTTTTCCGCTGAAAAGAAAAGAAAACCAATAACTATAAAGAATGTATATAATTAATGTGCAATCTATAACGTAAATAGGCCCATATTCATGTGAAATATCATTGTAAATATGGTGATAAATTTCTATGTTATTTCGTGATTTCCATACATATAGCATAATAAAGGGGATATATATTTTTTCATGCAAGTTAATGTTTCCGTTTCAAATTTTATTAACGATAAAAATTGGACCTTTAAGCTTCGGAGAGTTCCGTTTGATGTAAGGGAACTGAATTGTGTCCAGATTATTTGCGTATAGTTGCTTTTCTTTATCCAAACACAAATTTACGAGGATTTTTAAACAGTTTTTAGGATGAATACGGTACAATGATTAATTCATATGTAAATATGCGTTTAAGGAACGGAAACAAAATGCCCTGAAATGTTAACCTAATTGGGGCAGCGCGGTAGCAGCGCGGTAGCCTGCTGCTCAAAGCGTTCTGTCGTCAGGCCGAGGACCCCGTTTCGATCCTCACAATACAATATAATTGGGTACAATTCATAACATATTTTTCTTGTGACGTTGCTGAAATATTGCTGAAAACAGCTTAAATATCTACATTCACTCATTCTCCAATCTAAATGTATAACAATAAGGTCACACAACACCAGCAAAATTTACGAACGGTGGATGAAATGTTCTGACTGCATTGATGGAGTTGGCTGCTACTTTTTTAAAATATAATCCCCACCCCCACCCCCACCCCCACCCCCACCCCCACCCCACCAACAGACCCACAGAGGCCCACAAACGTCTGCCAACGGTGCTATTTCTTCATGTTTCGGACGACGGTGCCATATCTAGTGAATACTGTGGATGTGAAATGAGTCCAAAGCCACATTCATGACGACAACAGACTTATGTACAGGTGCATTGTCCTTAAGGAACAGTGATGATAGTAACACAGTTCATCAGGTTCTAAGCCGCTTCCAACAGTGACACCAACGAGTACAGATTAGGTGCTGACAAACCAAGGGCCATAATCAGTGCAAGTCTGCGATCTTCGGATCCTGGCCCGCCTAATTGACGCTGCAGGGAATCAGGCGAAAGTCAATGGTGTGTAGTAAGACTTCTCTCATAAAATAAATAAACAATATAATATTTCAGACAAGGAATTTATAACAAAGCCTTCTCTTTGCCAGCTGATGGAACAGATCCGGCCTTTTTCAAAGGAGGAGACTACAGATGCATGGATACCTGTTGGGGTTAGCCTTTCCAGGTACTTGATGAGTGAGTGAGTGAGTGAGTGAGTGGGTGGGTGGGTGGGTGGGTAGGTGGGTGGGTGGGTGAGTGAGTGAGTGAGTGAGTTGGGTTTAACGCCGCTTTTAACATTATTCTAGTTATATCACGGCGTGTCAGCTTAATGTGGGAGGAAAGCCCGAAGTGACGCAGGTCTCAGACGTTTACCACTTCGGTGAAACCCACGAGCACGGGTATAGTGCTGACAAACCTAGAAACATAAGTGGGGCGAACCGGGATTCGAACCTACAATCATAGGTTTCTGGCGTGTCCAAGGGACGCAACTCTGCACAGCGAATCGCGGCGCCTTAGACGACTGGGCCACCCGTGCACCCAAATACTTGATGACTGCTCAGTAGCTAATTTTGTCCATTTTCATCAACAGAGACCACATAGTCACTTTTGTGTCTGCAGATATACGCTGCCTGGTTGTGATGCTGGTTCAAATACAGCCTGTAAAATGGACAGTGTTGTACTTAATACTGTTAAGGGCGTACTACATATGCTTCGTCGTGAGGCTCAGACGTTTTCAACCACCCCTCATGCTGCAGCGCAAATGAAACCAGTCTACGAGAAAGGCTACATAGCATCTACTGACACAGCCTGACACCAGGGGGCGTGATATCGCTTGGATGAGCCCGAGGTACCTGACTCGCCACGTTTGGCAGTGCGCATCAGTGAAAGAGGAGTTATGCGCATGCTTTATGCCAGTAAACAATAACAGTGCCCGTATTTCCAAGAATTTCAGAATAGGTCATAGTAATATATTAACCAAATATGAGTTTAAACATTGCATCTATCAAAATTCCTTTTTAAAGAACATTTAATCAGCGAGCCCTTCATTGTCATTTACAAATGTTAAACATGACAGTAGAGAAGGATTTGTCACGTGCCCAGGGAGCACCATGGACGTACATGCTTCCAATTTCTTCATCGTCAAATATCAAGTCCCTCCACTTGTTTACCTACCAGAACAAGAAATATAAGAGACCAGTGAAATCGCCTTATCTGTTTCATCAGAGACCACAACATGTATGTTCTCTGGTTTCATATGTAGATCTGTGCATAAAGATTCAGAGTGACAAAAAACTCTCCACAAGACTGAATGACTTCGGCTTCATAGTCACAGTGAATTTATTGTCCAGCTATATTCCACTAGTTATATCCTTTGGTGTCTACATTTCACAACTTTGGAGGTCATACGTAAACATTGTTGTATATATGTGGTATTTTCTTTGAGGTGGAGGTCGGGTACATACGGGTACATCCAACCTGCTGTTTATACGTTCAAACATGATGTAGATTTTGCTTATATGTGTACATATTTATTCACGCAATGAGTTACACTATGGATATTCATTAACGTTCAATATCATGGAAGACTTCAAGGGAGAGTATCTCCTGTTTGCTTGAACATTATGCCCATATAAAGTAGGGACGATGGGGTGGCCTAATGGTTAAAGTGCTCGCTCGTTACGCCCAAAACACGGGATCAATTCCCCACATGGGTACAATGTGTGAAGCCCATTTCTGATGTCCCCCCCCCCCCCCCCCCCCCCTTCAAAACAACATATTTCCTTTGAATTCTAATCATTTCCATAATTTGAAATTTCGTGTATATAGGGTAATGAATAGCCATTTTATTTTATTTTATAACTAAAACTGAGTATATTATTTTAACAAAATACATAATATCTTAAGTAAATATTTTAGGAATTAATAAAAATGCTTTTGGTCGTTTGATTGAAAGAACATTGATGTCTAGATTCACCAGGAGAGCGTTTAGTCGAACGATTTACGAAACACTCCTCTCGTTTTGTATAATGCTTCATCCTAGTTGAATTGTAGTCACAGGCTTATAAACTGTTTACTTTTTTTTATAGGTATTTGAAAATATAATAAACAACGTGCAATGTACCATGTTGGTCGAACCTTTTCGATTAATCTCAAAGTCCATACAAAATAAGCATTATGCATTATTTTCTTTGTTTTTCATTTATAATAATGTTCAAAAAATGAAAAGAAACAAACACATTATAATGAGACACAAACCCGTCCACCATTTCAAATATGCTTGTTAGTATAGAAATATTGATGTGAATATTTGATGTAAAAAATGTAAAATTGATGCCTGGCAGGTGCGTGTCTTGTCCAGTTTAGACATTACAATCAACTTATCGCATTTTTTTTCTATTCAAGACGAACATTTGGTTTCATCACATTCGCATTTTCAGAGATCCATTCATTTAATTTATTTTGCCTTTTACGCTCAATGGAATCTGTTTCAGCAGATAATGGAGAACGTATATTCTCTGACGTTGACATAGATTGTAAATACAGTCATTTGTCATGTGTCGAAAAAACGTCAATTTCTTTTTTACAAATTAAGTGTTTTAATAGTAAGAACGAAAATTAGATGAGATGTACATTTATATCAATAAAAAACCAACATACGTCGTTAAAGATATAAAACAAACCATGGCTTCAAAAAGGTTTTAAATTTTCCTCCATAAATAATCTGTCCTACTACACGTACACAGCCATGTGACAGCGGGCATCTAAGGACTAAATTAAGTCCTAGATAGGCCACCTATTTCTCTTGTGCTTTATTCTGTATATCGTATGACTTCATCATACATATATCGTATACCTTGTCATGCTACCTGAACGTGTATGGTTTCCGTATCGATATTTATGTCAGAACAGTTTGATTACTTATGAACAAAAAAACCCAAAATATATTGACTTTATTCAAAGCTCACCCAAGGACACGTGAGCTACAGTGACCGAGTTATGCCTCTTTTAGGGTGTATTTACCTTTTTTGACGTCATAGTGAAAACTCGATTTTCCTCATTTATAACAAGTAATCTTTTTAATCGAATGTGTAACGTTCCATGGAAGCTTACAGCTCCATTTGATAGAGCGTTGTGTGTCATTCAGGCATGATGTCGATGTTTGTCGGCGTATGATTAAAGGTGGAGAAATGTACTCACAAAACAATTCCGGACAATAATTAGAACGGTTTGTTTTTCAAACCAGTCTTATATTTGCAATTAAGTTTACACCTTAGATAGGAAATTAAATTGTCTCCAATTCTCCGTAATTTTATAGTTAGCGGTAGACCCAGTACGGTGCGACTGCAAATCTCGTTCACTTTTCCGAACTTTGAGTCAGAACAAACTCGGCATCCGGAGGGCTTAATCTAGGGGTAACCAAACTCTACACTGAAAACGCAGTTAAAAACTCCATCCTGTTATGGAGTAATGCCCTTTGTGAAGACTGATGAGTGGTTTATAAACATATGCAAATATTATTAAACATATACGCCCTACATTCACTGATGTTCTCGAAAATTGCAAACAATACTCCAACGTTGCTTAAATAATTGTACTTACACACTTTGAATCACACAATCTCATTGCACCTTACTGTCTGCTTCCCATCAGACATTTCAGGTCTCCGACTTAAATATAACTGAAACACACACATTCACAGTCCTCATTTTCTCACCTACGTTCACGCTGGCTCCCTATTGATCTGCGATAAATCGATACCAGTCGCTGTGTGGACGTCCGTTGTCGTCAAACCAGGGACCGTGGATGTAATGAAAGCAACTGGCGTTGTCAACTCATTTTCAATGTTTCTAATCAACCCGCCCATATTAACATGGATTGCTCGAACATGTCACATGAACGATACCATTACTTAACGGTGGTGTTGGGTATTTATCTCACGCCAGCTTTGGCTTACAGTGCCCTGTACATATGAGACCAGAGCTGACAGACCTGGCTTATGGCCGTTATGATGACAATATAGTGTAGGAGTTTACATTTACGTCAGTATTTCGTCAGCTTGTCTATAATTTTTAAACTCTATGATTTGTCACTATTCAGACCGGCTGGAGAATAATCAGCCTCAAATAACTGCCAAAAAGAGTTTCCATATACGAAAAAACAATGTACCAGGGGATGGGTCCATTTCCTTTAAACATTTCAAATGTCAGGGGTCAAGACCTTAATAAAGCTTTCAAAACATTTTATGGCATACACGTGGAAGAGCTTTCAAAACATTTTATGGCATACACGTGAAAGAGCTTTCAAAACATGTTATGGCATACACGTGGAAAAGCTTTCTAAACAAGTTATGGCATACACGTGGAAGAGCTTTCAAAACATTTTATGGCATACACGTGGAAAAGCTTTCAAAACAATTTATGGCATACACGTGGAAGAGCTTTTAAAACATTTTATGGCATACACGTGGAAAAGCTTTCAAAACAATTTATGGCATACACGTGGAAGAGCTTTCAAAACATTTTATGGCATACACGTGAAAGAGCTTTCAAAACATGTTATGGCATACACGTGGAAAAGCTTTCAAAACATTTTATGGCATACACGTGGAAGAGCTTTCAAAACATTTTATGGCATACACGTGGAAAAGCTTTTAAAACAATTTATGGCATACGCGTGGAAGAGCTTTTAAAACATTTTATGGCATACACGTGGAAAAGCTTTCAAAACAATTTATTGCATACACGTGGAAGAGCTTTTAAAACAGTTTATGGCATACACGTGGAAAAGCTTTCAAAACATTTTATGGCATACACGTGGAAGAGCTTTCAAAACAGTTTATGGCATACACGTGGAAGAGCTTTCAAAACAGTTTATGGCATACACGTGGAAGAGCTTTCAAAACAATTTATGGCATACACGTGGAAAAGCTTTCAAAACATTTTATGGCATGCACGTGGAAGACATTTCCAAACTAATCTCCCCCCCCCACCACACATACACCTCCACAACCATCACCAAAAAAAAAGAAGAAAAAAGAAGAAGAGAATATTCCCTATTTTGACTCGTACCTTGTGTTCCTATGATCCTGAACGCTACAGGTGTGTGGCCGGTGATAATGGGATTTATGGGATTTATGGGAGGGCAGATAGCTAAGCTTTTCGCGAACACCTGGTATCATTAGTAGTGATTGACAACACATGCTTATGATATCGCTGGAATCGTACAACCTACGATGCTTTCACGGAAGAATTATTAGATTAAGGAAATGGTTTTGTCGCTGGTGTGTTAACGATTTAAACTGCTTAAGTTCAGAAATGAGCTAAACGTTAAGAAATCATGAGTGTTATCAGATGTAAATAAATGAGAATGAGACTTTATTCTATTCAACACCGGCCTGTTTTGCATTAATAATAACACCCAATGCAGAGGTGACGCTGGTGTTGTGTTGTAATGTTTAATGCTGTCAGTTTCAAGGAAGTGGTTTTAAACATTATCTGAACAAGATATTATGATATCGCTGGAATCGTACAACCTACGATGCTTTCACGGAAGAATTATTAGATTAAGGAAATGGTTTTGTCGCTGGTGTGTTAACGATTTAAACTGCTTAAGTTCAGAAATGAGCTAAATGTTAAGAAATCATGAGTGTTATCAGATGTAAATAAATGAGAATGAGACTTTATTCTATTCAACACCGGCCTGTTTTGCATTAATAATAACACCCAATGCAGAGGTGACGCTGGTGTTGTGTTGTAATGTTTAATGCTGTCAGTTTCAAGGAAGTGGTTTTAAACATTATCTGAACAAGAACACGCTTGATCAAAGTTGATGTTCACAGGCGGTGTAGGTCCAATATGTCCATGGACGTCCATCCAGCAACCCTACAGCTGTATAGTCATTCAACGTTATAAAACTTACATATTCAGGAAATAGTATCCCATCTCACACGTGTGTGCACCGGTGGCGTCCGGCTGTCTAAGGCGATGCAAACCAGTGCCAGCAACCGACGACTGTGGGTTTGAATCCCGAATCGTCCTGATTATCAGCCTTGGTTTGTCGGCACCATACCGTTTGGTTTCACAAGGAAGACGTCTAACATCTGCATCACTATGAGTTCCTCTTTATTAATATTTATTTAATATATTATGACGTCCCAGCCTATCATTTATGGTGTCAGTTTGCAATCTGTGGGTGTATTTAAACAATCTAAAAGTTTAAGTTATAAAGACTATTTGTATCATTCTATTCTTATGAAGCATGTGTCAAAAGTAAAAATAAAAGAAACTTCTGACTTACATTTGAGGATGTGTGTTGTTGGGACATCAAGAAACGATCCAATCTGTGGTTTTCCAAGTCTGGTCCCCAAGTTGGAACAAGTCCTGGACAACAGATGCTTGTCATTAGAGGCGACAAAACGGATCTAAGCCTCTTAGCACAAAATTCTACCATGAATTTGGAAATTACTCGATTGTGATTGGTCAATCAGAGGCTATTAATTCACAATAAACCCCCTCTGATTGAAACAGCTGGTTTGACGGCCGCATCACCGCGGAAGCTAATATTCATAGAATGTACTTTTTTCAGTCATTGTCGGTAGGCATATTTAAATAATTATATCCACAATTGCAGGTTTAAAATGAATAATCAAAGGATGTGTGGCAATACATTTCGTGCAGAAAACACGATAGAAATCTACAAAGAGAATGTATTTAGGTTTTGGAGACAACCGAGAGCTTGGTGCTTTTCTATATACGACTGAGACGCCATATCTTTTGACGTGTGGTGTAGAATGCCAACCTCATGTTAACAAACACACTGCCGGAGCATATTTTGTTTACAGGCTGTGGTCGGTAATTCCGTAAATCAGATCGACAACTCACTAAAAAAACATTGGACTCAACCCATGCCGCTTCACTCAAAATATTTGCTAACACCAAAGAGTCCGCGCTAAATTTAACATTTGTAACCTCACGCTGCGCGTTCGGTTCCAAATTCAATTTAGCGGGGTTAAATCTACAGGTAACTCAGCTCTACATTGAAAACACAGTGTGTTTATCCCCTGAGTAACATCAGATTAACTTAGAATTAAAGGCCAGCATAACTCTCGTACTTTAACAAAGACTTATGATAGTCGCAGCACAAAGATCGTTTTGTGCAACGGGGCCCGGGTGGTCAAGCTCGACTGATTGCTTGTCATTGTGCGGTTTGGGACGTTCCTCTGATATCAATTACTCGATTGTTTACCAGCCACCATCATACAGCTGGACAGTTTGTTGTCAATAAACAAACAAAAGAAACGATTTCTCTAAATCACCCGTAATTGTACGATAATGATGACGGCGGTAGGTCAGCGCTGACGTAGTTAACACCAGATAGTCAGGCGTTAATCCTTGTTGATTGTTGGCTATTGTTTGTCCGCACTAACATGTCGAGAATTTATACGCTTATTGTGTTTCTTAAGAGTAGGAGAATGGCCAGTAGTGGTAAATATGTGTAGATGATGCGGTATTGAAAAATGTAAAAGACTCCCTGTAGACCTGTGTTATGTAATACACAGGTAGTAAAAGATGAATTTCACGTTTTTGTAATACTGACACAACAAATCATACCACAATATTATCTTCAAGGCCAAATGTCCATAATACAACTCGCTGTTATCATTCCATCAACAAAACGTTATCATTAACTGCTGTAGGCATATAATGGAGGCTTCAGCTACAAGGAATGCATTGTTACCATAAGATATTATACCATCTTCTACATGTAATCCGTCACATGCTGTCGCACTCACACTGTATTTCAATGGCATATTTGTACGTGGGTCAATAGCCTTTCAACTGAAACAAACTTTCTACCAAAGACCGTCGCGCCAGCACGGGATGCAAGAGTGAGTGAGTGAGTGAGTGAGTGTGGTTTTACGCCGCTTTTAACAATATTCCAGCAATATCACGGCGGGGGACACCAGAAATGGGCTTCACACATTGTACCCATGTCGGGAATCGAACCAAGGTCTTCGTCGTGACGAGCTAACGCTTTAACCACTAGGCTACCCGACCGCCCCCCGGGATGCAAGACATATCTGAACACAGCTTTAGATTAAACTTTTTATACTTTTCCTGGAGTAACAAAACAATAAAGATTGATTGTAAGTGAACACCGAAAACACATTTACCCTACCTGAATGCCTTCTTGTTCGAGTGGACGACTGGTTCTTTCAAGTCCCCCTGGATAGTGTACGGCAAGTCAACATCCACCAGAGCCGTTACTTGCTAATGACCAAGTCTCCGAGATCAATAAATTAACTGGAACGAATGGTTCGATTTATTATATTGACAGGAAGCACGAGGTCAGTTTGGGCGTGCACTCAGGTACACTAGTTCTTATCGAGGGTGAGGTGAGGTGAGGTGATTTGAGGTGAGGTGATTTGAGGTGAGGTGAGGTGAGGTGAGGTGACGTCGCGTCCAAGAGTATTGCACTTATATAGCGACGTGCATGCACGTGTGTGTGTCTGCTTGTACTAGTCCGGACTGATGCCGATTTATAGTGTCAGCCCACTGATACACCATGCCGAAGTCTAACATGAATATCCCACTCAGATATTATACTGAGTCCGAGCCAACCAGTCCTTGTTTGAGCCCCTTAATGCCGGACGCCAGACAGGGTAATAACAAGTACCATCTTTAAACGTCTTTTGGTATGACGCGGCCGGGGATCGAACCCCGGACCTTCCGCATAACGAGGGCAATGAATCAGTTTTATAACATTGTGTGCTGATATATTCAATAGCGTCACACACAACAAGAAGACATTTTGCTTCTAGCAGTGATTTCTTATGAACTTGTGTTACTCGATCTTCCTCCTCTTTACAAAATTATTATCTTATAATTTCACTTTAAGCTTTAACTCGACGCTCCATATATTTACAAACATGTTTTACAGTACCCTACGCTTTCATATCTTTTCAATTGGAATTTAGAATTTAAACATGTTTAATAAAGTGCTTATCATCAGGCTATAAGTCAAATATGGATAAAATGTATAATGTTTATTGAAATTAGATGTGCTTATCAAAGTCATAAGGCACTTGCACAACACATATACCACCAGGACTTACCACAAACTTGGTACAATATTAACATACACGTGTACATATCCGTGCAGATCCGGGGTAGAATAGGTCTTCAGCAACCCATGCTTGTCCCCCGTGCAGATCCGGGGTAGAATAGATCTTCAGCAACCCATGCTTGCCGTAAAAGGCGACTGACGGGATCGGGTGGTCAGACTCGCTGACTTGGGTGATGCATGTCATCGTATCCCAATTGCGTGTATCGATGCTCATGGTGTCAATCTCTGGATTGTCTGGTCCAGACTCGATTATTTACAGATCGCCGTCATATAGATAGAATATTGCTGAGTGGGGCATTAAACAACAAATATTGACAGTTGCGGGTGACCTCGCCTAGGTGAACACAACCAAGCTGACTGTCGTTCATGTCCTGATGAACGTCAGTATGTCGCGTGACAACGTTTTCAATCGAGCGGAGACATACAGAACTACTTCAGGGGAATTCCCCAATGTCTAAAAATAACATTAGGCTATGAATGATGCTGGCTTTGAAGCCAGACAGATCATGTATATGTCGCGTCACCGAAATGAAGCGTTCGTTCGAAGCTATAACAGAGAATGCTCGACTTACCTAAAGAAATCACTGACTGCCACACTGTTGTGTATAGTTTCAGGAAATCCATCCGCGCCACATCCAGCGGTAATCCCCGTCTTCAGCAGCCATAGCATTTATATTCTCCCCAGGCGACAAAGCACCTGGAGGGTCATCTATTTTGGTGAGACAGGGCGTGATTCACAGCCCTGTTTCTATCAATTCAAATCTTCAAGTTGTTGCTGTTCGTTTAACTTTGAACGTTGTCTGCCTTGTAATCCTCAGTGTTCCTTGTATATTCCTCCATCCACTATGCTTCGACAAACAGATCTTCAAAATCTGTATGATCAGCTACCCAAGCCATGCATCATTTTGGGTGATCTGAATGGACACAACCCTCTATGGGGAAGTGTTACCACAAACAATAAAGGGAAAGTACTTGAGGAATTCCTTTCTGATAATAATTTATGTATCTGTAATGATGATTCGAACACCTATTTACATCCTGCCACTGGACCGTACTCAGCACTTGATCTGTCTCTCTCAGATTCAAATCTATTTAACGAATTCGAATGGTTGGTCCATGATGACCTCTGCGGAAGCGATCATTTTCCCACCATTCTTAAAACTATGAACCCGAATCCTGATTCCTCCTCAACCAGATGGAATTTTACAAAGGCCAATTGGTCATTATATGAAATATTGTGTACTGCAAAATTAACCCCTTACAATTTTCAAATATTGAAGATCCGATTCTATTGTTTTCAGATCAGCTCAATGAAATAGCCGATCAAACAATTCCTAAGTCCTCTCCAAATCCTCATATTCGCATACAGTGGTTTACCAACGAATGCAAACAGGCACGGAAGTGTAGGAAGAAAGCGGAAAAGTACTTCCTACAGTTCATAATTTAGATAAAGTAAAAATTACAAATGCAAAAGCCAGACGGGCTTATAAACAAAATAAGCGCCAATCTTGGAGGAACTATGTCTCCAAAATAAATTCCCGTTCTCCTATGTCAAAGGTATGGAACATGATGCAAAAAATTAAAGGCAAAGGATCAAAGTCTTCCTTTCACCATCTTAAGGAAGGTGATCAGTTATGAACTAATAAATCAGACATTGCCAATAAACTTGGTGAAACATTGGCCAAACATTCGTCATCGTCTAATTATGTCCCTGAATTCATAAAATATCAGAAACAACAGGAAAAGAAAAATGTTACTTTTAACTCTGATAACGGGGACGACTATAATGAATTGTTTTCCTTCCACGAGGTACATACTGCACTAGGGCAAGCTCATGATACAGCGGCTGGTGCTGATAATATTCACTATCAGCTCCTGAAACATTTGCCTAAACCATGTCTAGAAACATTTTTGGATATATTTGACCAAATATGGACGTCGGGGAATTTTCCTCCTTCGTGGCATAATGCCATTGTAGTCCCTATCCCAAAGCCTGGTTGGGATCATACAGATCCCTCAAATTACCGCCCTATATCTTTAACCAGTTGTGTCTGTGAAACCATGGAGCGAATGGTAAATAATAGATTAGTTTGGTTCTTAGAAACCAATAATCTACTGACAAATATTCAATGTGGTTTCCGCAAAAATCGAAGTACTATTGATCATTTAGTACGATTGGAATCGTTTGTGAAAAAAGCTATTGTTAACAAACAACATGCAGTGTCAATAATTTTCGATCTTGAGAAAACTTACGACACTACCTGGAAGCATGGCATTGTAAAAGATTTACACGGGAGGCCGCTTACCACATTTTATATCACATTTTTTAGCCGACAGGCAATTTCAAGTCCGAGTGGGTTCAACCCTGTGTGACCATTATAATCTGGAGCAGGGTGTCCCACAAGGAAGTATTTTGTCTGTTACTTTATTTAGTCTTAGAATCAATAGTCACTTTTCGTAGATGATTTTAATATATCTTGTCGTGGTAAAAATATGCACACTATTGAGAGACAGCTACAATTATGCCTCAATAAAATTCAGAAATGGTTACTAGAGAATGGGTTTAAGTTCTCTAAAGTCAAAACAAACTGTATCCATTTTTGCCTCAAATATAAACCGCATAAGGACCCTTAAGGAAGCCAAGTTCCTGGGTATTATTTTTGATAATCATTTAACATTTTTACCTCATATAAAATATCTGAAGTCTAAATGTCTGAAGGCAATTGACCTGTTGAAAGTCGTTTCTCATTCAAGATGGGGAGGGGATCAGACAACCCTCCTACATTTAAATCGTTCTCTCATCCGTTCCAAACTCGATTATGGCTCCATCATTTATGGTGGGGCCTGTAAAAGCAACTTACAAAATTATTAGATTCAGTACATCATCAAGGCCTGAGTCTTGGAGCCTTTTGAACATCACCAGTCGATAGCTTATATGTAGAGGCCGATGAGCCATCTCTAAAACAACGTCGAATCAAACTTTCGTTACAATATGTGACTAGATTTTACTCAAATCCGTCGAATCCAGCATATGAGTGTGTGCTTAATTCCATGTATGCCAAATTATTTCAATCAAAACCAAAACTTCTTCCACCTCTAGGGTTCAGAATTAAGCCACACGTTTTATCGAAGCTAATATTGATCTCTCTACTATCACACCGTACCGGTTACTGTCTACACCTCCCTGGCAACTAGTTAAACCAGAGGTAGACCTAACACTAACTACCCTAAAAATATCTGACACAAACCCATTGGTATAACAACAAGAATATGCCCAATTAAGGTCCACATATGATTCTCATCGTCCTATTTTTACCGATGGTTCCAAGGATGGTGGCAAAGTTTCAAGTGCCACTATCATTGGATCTAAAATGGTGTCTTCGAGAATCCCAGTTAATAGTTCTATTTTTACAGCTGAGGCCAATGCTATTCTTATAGCATTACATACATTACATCTTACAGCTACATAACACTTGCCCTTGAACCGCTACATAACACTTGCCCTTGAACCGCTACATAACACTTTCCCTTGAACCTCTACATAACACCTCCTTTTGAACCTCTTAACCACTTTCCCTTGAACCTCTACATAACACCTCCCCTTGAAACTCTAAACCACTTCCCTTGAACCTCTACATAACACCTCCCCTTGAACCTCTACATAACACCTCCCCTTGAACCACTAAACCACTTCGCTTGAACCGCTACATAACACTTGCCCTTGAACCGCTAAACCACTCCCCTTGAACCTCTACATAACACTTTCCCTTGAACCCTCTACATAACACCTCCTCTTGAACCTCTACATAACACTTCCCCTTGAACCTCTCGATACCTCTTCCCCTTGAACCTCTCCATAACACCTCCTCTTGAACCTCTAAACCACTTCCCTTGAACCGCTACATAACACTTACCCTTGAACCTCTACATAACATTTACCCTTGAACCGCTACATGACACTTGCCCTTGAACCTCTACATAACACCTCCTCTTGAACCTCTTAACCACTTTCCCTTGAACCTCTACATAACACCTCCCCTTGAACCTCTACATAACACCTCCCCTTGAACCTCTACATAACACCTCCCCTTGAACCTCAACATAACACTTCCCTTGAACCTCTACATAACACCTCCCCTTGAACCTCTACATAACACCTCCCCTTGAACCAC